CTGCTCACCCACAAGTGTGAACACAGACCCCTTCCTTCTTTCCTTCTCACCCCCCACCTTGGCTCTCTTCAGCCCAAAGATTTGGCTAGAAACATTTTGGAAGCTTTCTCCAATACCAAGTCACAGGTAGTATCTACATACGTACACATACACATTTATTTTGGAGACAAGATGTCCTAGGTAGAGTACAAGTTCCTCTGTTTAAGTTTCTCAAATCTTGTGAGGTCAGAGACAAAACAGAGCTTACTTTCTATAATACTTCAAGTCTGTCTGGTCCTTGGGTTGTTCAGTAAATGTCAGTAACTGAGGGAAGATGGTATAGGGAAGGGAAAAACAATAGCAAAGAATGGAATCAGAGGCCTGGATTTCCACTTGGCTAAGTGGCCTTGGGCCTTGGGAGTTTAACCCATTTGTGTGCTCTCAGCTTCTGTTTTCTCATCTGTGAAATGGGAATAACAGACAGCCTGTCTCTATACCTTAATATTGATTGTACTGATTGTCACTAGTGAGCCTTGGAGGGAAGAGAAAGAGGTGTATCAGTGCCAAAGGGGAGCAGATATGAGGGAATCTCCTAATGCTGCTGTGACTTCCTACACACAGATCTTAGCCTTCCCTACTAAGCACATAAGCAAGGTAGGGTCAAGATATCATAGTTTCAGAGAGCCATAGACTGACTCGGGATTGGAACAGTTTTTTCCTGACAAAATCTCATCTTACCTAAGGCAAATATTTCGACTGGCAGGATGATTCAGTTGCAGTCTGTCCTAGAGACAGTTTTCAGAATTGAAGATGAGGACACTTTTTGTAACAAGCGTGACAATACCTTATGTGTTAGTTTTCCGTTGCTGTGACAAAACACCTGAGAAAAACAACTTGCAAGGGGAAAAGATTTGTTTTGGCTCACAGTTTCAGAGATCTCAGTTCATGGTCACTTGGTCTTGTAGATTTTGAGCTCTGACAAGGCAAAGCCTCAGGGAAGGGAGTGTGTTCACTCACTTCATGGTGGGGTGGGCAGGAAAAACAGAGGCAGAGACAGGCAGACCTTCAACATATGGCCCAATCTAAACTCTCACACCATGGTAAGAAGTCATCCATCAAAACCCAGCACTCTGAAATCCAGATTCCAAAGCATATGTGAAGGTAGGTTATCTGATAAGGAGGCTCCCTCTCTCTCAGAATTGGGTGGAATGGATATGATTTTAATCGATCAATTAAAGCAGCTATATTTGCTTCTACCCAAAGCAAACCTAACTCCTCTAGTTATGAAAATTCTAATAATGTACCCAAGCAGAGGTAGGAGAGGTTACTTTTGGCTAGCTGTCCTGGAGCCTGTCTTGGTACAAGACACTACTGGGAAACTTTACAGAACAATTAAGGGGAAAAGTAACTATCGAAGATACTAAGAAATGTTTGCACACCTGCTTGCAACGGTGCCTAGCACAGGCAAGGCACCGCATACCTGATGACTGTTCATATGAATGAATTCACAACTGAACAGTGGACTGAATAAGACAGGGCTGTGGATGGGGCTCAGTGGCAGAGTGCTTGCCTTGCATGTGTAGGGCTCTGGGTTCAACTTCAAAAACTATCACACATTGGAGCCAAAACACTGTACTTTGGCAGTGATAGAGTTGAGGAAATACTGCTGGATCCCAATAGTTCAACAAAATAGAAAAAAAAATTTTTTTCCCAGTACTGGAGATTAACCTAGAGCCTCATTGGACAAGTACTCTACCACTGAGTTATTCCTCAATTAAAGAACGAAATTTTTAAAAAGAAATGTCTTCTCATTTAAGACTTAAGAAAATAAGACAATGAAGTATGAGCAGTAGAAAATAGCAGGATCTTAGATTTACACCAGAAACATATTTTGAGCATCTTTGCATGCCAGGCTTTGTGTTGACCTTAGGATGTAGTGGTGGGAAATCCAACACTAGATCTTCTATCCTGTGAAGTAGGAAGCATGACCTACATGAGATGCATATTATAAGCAAGGTACAGAGACAGAAGGAAAATAGAAGTATTACAGCCCATAAGAAGGCATATGCAAAGGGCTGGTGGCAGGAGGAGCAGAAGGTGTGTTGGAGGATCTTGGAGTAGCCAAAGCCCTGGAATACTGAGAATGAGAAGAAGGGAAGAGAACAGTTGCTACAGCCAAACATGTTGTGTTATTTCTGATAGTCTGAAATCCCTCCTGAGGGCACTTGGTTTAAATACAGTGAGATCATGAACTTGTAGGAGGCATTATAGGGGAGAGAAAGAGGGACCCCTTCTTTCCATTGTAAAATGCATGAGCAGAATAAAATCTAAAGAATGAAGTTTTACCATGAGCTCAGCCGGGCTCAGGGGGAGTGGGTGTAACGGAAGTGGAGAGAAAAGTACAAGAGCTTGATTCTGGCGGTGTCTGGGAGGGGATCAGGAGGGGCCCTGTCACTTTGCTGTTTTGAGTCAGTAGGCTGGTGTGTAATTTGTGACAACTTACAGTTTCATGAGTTCTCTCACCCAGTCTTCTGTCTGTGTTCTTTCCTTTTCTTTTTGTACTTCTTCTCCCAAGTTTGGAGAAAAAGAAATAGAATCCTGTGGCCTCGGGCGGGTCAATGACAGGTCCCCCGCAGACCCCAGGAGCAGCTGCCGGATGTGTGTGAGGAATGGTGAGGTGCCCGGGCTTCGTTTTCCAGTTCAATTTTATGTTTTGTTTCTTTTAGAAAATATCTTCCAAGATAATGTGTTAGTGATGGTAATAGATACACATGTGTTTTAGTTTTGAGTTTCCCTGTGTGCTAAATCTTTTTAATTGGAAGAAAGAAAGGGGCAGTTACAGGAAGGGAGGAGGAGGAACCGGTAATGGCAAAAGAGTGGATTCCTGCCTCTGGGCAGATCTCTCCTCTACCCACTCTTAGGTATCTTGTCTAAGGAAAAGCATTTGGAAGCTGATGATTGTGCAAATGGCCCCTGGCTCTGAGACATTCTGAGATTCTGACTTTTGAATAATTGTACTTACATACTTGCAAATGTGTCCTATGCCTGTGAATCCTTTTTTTTTTTTTAACAAGAAAGAGATCCAGTCTAGCTTGGTATAAGGGTAGCCAGTGGCACTTTTATAGATAAGACCATGCATTGGAATTCACCCACTAAGTGGCATTTTTGAAAGCCCTGGGCCCACAGGAGTCCATAGGAATTTGGAACCACCCAGAAACCTGTACTGTCAGACGACTGTGTCTTTCTGATCACCACCTCGTCTTGGTTGTGTCTCTTCGTGTTTGTACCAGCAGGGACAATAGACAGATATTGAGGCTGAAAAATTCTGTTTCAAACTTTGGATTAGAAATTTAGTAATGAAAAGGGAACAATGCAAATGGAAGACTGGATGAGAGAGGGGCGTGGCATACAAAAAGTTACATAATACTTCACTCACTGGCTTGCTGACATTTTTTTCAAATGTTGTGGGTCAATCAGATGTGTGTCTTAGATGATGACTTTTTGATGAAAAAAATGGTGCCATGAATTTGGGGTTTTTTTTTTTTTTTTGGTTCCTGGATATTTGTTTACAATGGCATCGTGTGCTACCTGGAGCTTCACTGATACTATTTAACAGGGACAAGAGTGTACATGACCATTCTCTCTGGCCCTGCCCCTTCCCCTGAAGAGGGGCAGCTGGAGGCGGAGGGGAGGCGACACATGACATGGGTCTTCTGCAGAGTCAGCAGCCCATGCTGACATGGGGAATGTCCTCCAGGCCATCAGCTGCCATTGCCACCTCCTCTCCAGTTTCTCTTCTGTGGGTCAAGTTTCTTTCCAGTGCACCGAATGAACAAGAAGCAGAAACTCAGCTGAATAATGCCAAGGCTTTCCAAGTAAGGGCAGGAATTTAAGCAGAGCAAAGATTCAAGTCAATGGGATGCCAAGTAAATGGCTGTTCTGCTGATAATGAAAAGTACAAATGTTTTTTATGTTCCAGGGTTCACAAATGGGATTCTTTCACTGGCCTAACCTGCTCACATACAAACTAGAAACTGTTCTTTATCTTTGCTTTATGGCATTTGTATTTACTGAGTGATCAGAAGCATTTTCCCCTTCACATTTAAGGGTTAGAGAAGACAAAAGACTATTTTTAAATAAAAGTGTTTTTTTAAGTAACATTTTTTTTCCCTTTTGCAACCAGACTTGATGGTTTAAAGTAACAGATTTTCCAAATAGAACATTTAGGCTTTTGTTTCTAAAATTACTATGTTTATCATGGGATTAGAACTTTCCAGAAGTGTATTTCTCAGCAGGACTTTCACTTTGCCCAAAAGTGTGGTTCTTCAGAGCATATTGTGGAAATATAGACAGAATGGATTGTCCACTAGGACTCCCTTTATAGGGATAATCATTACAAATAAGATGGAGGCCATTTTTCCTAATAAAAAGGAAAATTAAATTCATTGATATGATCTAGACCCTCCATGAAAGCTATTGGCAGTTCATGGTAGCTGTGTTTATTTTTATTTGCTTCTCTAATTCACATCTTTTGCTAAGTTCCCATAGCAGACCACAGCCACAGTCACCAAACTGTTTTGCTTGATTCCTTAAGTTCTTGGTGGGCTTACTTCTCCTTCAGTTAAACCCTATCTTTTGAGGTGTGTCTCCATTTGGGGGCACTTGGGACCAGTGCTGCTAAGAAACCAGCACTGTAGTCTTGGGCTGCAAAGAGCATTTGGAGAGGAGTTCATGATTTCTTCTCAAATGTGGTTGGGGCGTGGGCACAGATATAATGAAACGTACTTGTCATGGGGTTATTTTATTGCACCATTTTAAATCACACTGAGAAAATATCCTGGCAAAAAGAGCTGGGGCATCTCCCAGAGAAGCTGTGTATTACTGAACGCAGGTGCTGTGGAAACTTTTAGTGCATCCCTCCCTACAACCCTGGCCTCCTTTACCCAACAGAGAGTTGCTGGCAATGGTCAGGAAATGCAGTAGCCACAGGGAATGAACACAGTATCCTTTTTCCTTGTCAGATCTCCCAGCTGATGACAGAGAGCGCCCGCGAGGGACTGACGGAGGTGGCGCTGAACCGCTACAATGCAGACAAGCCGGTGGCCTGCAGTGTTCCAGCCTCACAGGGCTCCTGTGTGGCCAGCGAGCCTTCCACGGGGACCTCAGTGGCTGCATCCTTCTTTGCACGGTAAGAGAGATGCTCCAACCCTTGGCTCTTTCAGATGTGCCCAGCTGGTTAGCACCCTACGTTGACCCTTTTAGCTGAAAGAAGTAGGTTTGGGGCCACTTTGACTTTGGTTTCAAGACAGGATTCCTTAACTTTGGCACACTAGTGACATCGTGGACTGGACATCTCTGTTGTGGGGACCGTCCTGTGCATTGTGGATGATCAGCAGATGTTGATGCTGGTAGTACACCCCTCACCCCCACCATGAGACTACCAAAAAGGTCTGCAGATGGCATCATATGTCCCCTGGGCTGGGAACCACTCCTGTAGGGATGTGGGCTCTAACAATGGCCATTCTTGGGCTAGGGACTTTTGTGGGTGCAGCCCTGAGGCTGGTGTTTCAGATATATTTGTTGATTACTGCCCCCAAATTGAGTATTACATGCAGGGCAAATTTTTTTCCTTCTTGACAGGCTGGCTGGATAGTTATCACATACTACAGAGCTAATCTTGGAAACTTAAAAACATGAGAAACAAAAAGGAAAGGTATTTTAACAATGTTTTCTCCCTAATTTTAGCCACATGGCAGAGACAGGGCTGGAGACACAGGACAGCTGAGCAGTACAAAATTTCAGGGGTTGGCTAATTCAACCTCCTTGCTTCATGAGTGAGGAAACTGAGGACCAGGAAAGTTCAACTGTGAATGAGTTTATAGCAAAGCCAGAAATAGAAACCAGATTCCTCTACTTTTTTCTTCTATGACTCATTCTTTATTTGATACTTGGAACTGAACCTTAGAAATTTTTCTCTGTCTGAGATCCAAAGACCCCTTTGAGTTTAGGCCACAGCCCCACCTCAGTTGCCTTATCTATAAAATAAGAACACCATCTGCTGCAAAGGTGAAGATAAGGCACGTGAATTATAGACTGCCTTACAAAAGTCAGTTCAATGTGGACTTGGCTGCTGTGTCAGCAAGAAGGAATACAGTGTGACTTGTTTTATCCTTACACATGGTGACACCCAGGACATGGATATAAAGAAGAGATCTGACTGGGAAAGGAGTAAGTCTGGAGGACAGAGGGCTAATATCCTAGATTGAGACACCATAGAGGTTACCCTGTGGGCATGTTCGAAAACAGCCTGAAGGAGCTCACTGCTTTGGCGCCATGTTTACTGTCCTCTGAATGCACAGGCCAACTTCCATGTTTGGGAAGAAACAGGACCTGGGAGTGGGGCCTTTGTTAGCTCTGTCTGCAAGAGAATCTTACATTCTCTGGACTTTTGAGCTGGAACTCTAAGCTTGCAAAGAAAGCATGTCCATGAATGATGCAACAGTTTATGAGGGAATGCTACAAGCTCAGCGGCTCCTAGGACCTGGGTCAGTTATTACAGAGTATAGAGGGTCGTGGCCAAGGTGTTGAGGATCTAGGAAGCCTTTGCTTCCTAGATCTTCATCTTACGCAGATCTAGTCTTGAGAAGAAAGGGACTGAGGTGTCTTCTAGCTTTCTTCAGCAGTCATTTGGGTCATTAGGTCAAAGATGCTTCGGTGGGTTCTGTGGAGCAACGAAGCATGTAGGCAAAGGTGACTAAAACCTCATGACAGAAGGGAGACATTTCCCAGGTGACAATGAGGTGGAACTTATAGTTCAAATAGTGCAAGAGGAAATAGAGTTCTAGTCACTGAGGGAGATCAAGATTACTCTGAGTGGTTACCTGACTTCAGTAAGATTCCATGCTCTGATGGAAGGAAGCTTTCCGTGTTCTAATAGGAGTTGATTTCCAAGGTACCTTCCTAACTTGAGATTTGTTGGATGTGAAAAATCTTTAGTTTCCAGTCCTTCCAGAGAATTTTAAGGAAAATTGCCTTACAAGACAGAACAAAACAAAAAATTACAGAATAATTTGAAGCAGAAGGAGGAAAAATGAAGGCCCCTCTGATGGATTATGTTTAGGGAGCACAGGAATCTCCTGGTACCAGGAAGCCAGCAGCGTCTTTAAAGAAATGAGGCTGTGGAAATGAGATAGGCCTGGGAACGCTAAATGGTGCCCAAGGCCAGATTTCATGTTAATCAGGGACAACTTACAAACACGCACACAAGCACCAGGGAAGGAATGGCAAAAGACTGGCCAAGACAGTCATCTTCCTAAGGCTCATACAGCCAAGGGGTGGAATGGAGGCGCCCAGGCAGACCCTAGGCAGACGGGACCAGTTTACAGCAACAGGGAGGGGCCTTGCACACGACGCTGGCAACAAACAAGACTTGGAAACTCATCACTTAGAACTGCAAACTTAAGACCTGAGCTTTCAAAGAACTGGAAAAGCCCTATAGGGCTGCTTAATTCCCTATTATTTTGTTGTTGTAAACATTGATAGCTCTTAGAGCTTAATGGTGTAGGCATTGGAAGTGCATAGTTTACGTTCAAAAGGTTTACAAAGGGCAGGGGAAGTACCATGTAGAAGACAAAACCCACATGCTATATTTATAGTCCCCCTTCTCCTTACCTGTTATTATGTGTTACCATGCTCTTCTTATCAAGAGTACTGGACTTTTCCTCCTCCCAACAAGGGAGGCAGTGTTTAACACCTTACCTGTCATTGAGTGGCTTGTTCTGGAGGGTCACGGTACAGGTGGCTTTGATGGAGGTAAAATAAGGACATGTCACTGGTGTTGGGATTGGAAATGCTTCATAAGTTATGGTTTCGTGTGGAGGAGAAGGATTCTCTGTCCTCAGGGAGACTGGAAGGCAGAGTCAGTCCCTACTCTTCAGGTCTGTATTCACCATTTTTCAAGATGCAGCCCTCTGAGTCTGCAAGGCCCTGGAACTGTCCTGCAGCTCCATGTCAGGACACAGGACTGGGCTGCTTGCAGGAAAAAAAAAAAAAAACTATGCTGGAGCCATTTCATTTCATACAGGAGAGACACTGTTGGCCAAAGTTGTGATCACACTGGTGATGTGTACTAATCACTCAGTGTTCATCACACCGTTATGTGAGCTTTCAATATGGAAAACTCCCCTTCATCGTTAGACTAACCCTATGAAATACATGTTATTATTTTCCACACTTTATGATTACGAGAAGAGGAACTTTGGGGCTCAAGTGAATGTATTAGTTAGTTTTCTGTTACTGTAACAAATACCTAAGATAATCAACTTAGAGGAAAGGTTTACTTTGGCTTATGGTTTTAATTTTTAGTCCATGATCAGTTGGCTTCATTGCTTTGGGCCTGAGGTGGCCCATCATGACAGGAATGCATGGCAGAAAAAACATTCACCTCATGGTTTGGGCCCAGAGAGTAAGGAGGGCCCCTCTGAGGCCACACCCTCAGTCACCTAATCTTCCATGAGGTCCCACCTCTTAAAGGTTCCACCACCTCCCATTAGTACTGCCCTGGGGACCAAGCCTGTAACCTATGGACCTTTGGGGACATTTATGACTCAAACTGTAACAGTTTCTGCCCCCAAGTCACACCTAGGAAGTGGCAGAGTGAGGAAGTCCATGTTCCTGTTTTCTGGCTAAGCCTACACAGAAAGACACAGTAGTTGTTGTCATGATCATGATCATTATAAACTGATAATCATTGCTTATCAAACATTTTTGAAATCAGTGAACCCTACATTTGTTTAAGAAGACAAGTACAATAAAAAAAGATTGGTTGAAGATAGCAGATAGCCACTTTTCTTTATAATATGAGCCTTTAAAAATTGTTTACCTTTCTGAACTATGGATAGAGGCCTGCATGTCAACTTCAATATCTATGAGATAAAAGTTTCAATTATGATTGGGCAATGATGTTTTTGGACTGTGTTGGTCACACTATAGTCAGTGGACAGGTAGCGAATCACATGGTTACTCATGTGTGACAACTATAGGGATTGAGAGGAAGCACTGGAAATGTCTCTAGCAGATTGGCAGAATGCTTTTAAGCCTGTTATCCTAGTCCATTCTGCTGCTACATCAGAATACTCAAAGCTGGGTAATTTACAAAGAACAGAAATGTACTTCTTGCAGCCTTCGAGATGGGGAAGTCCAAGATCAAGGTGTCTGTGTTGGTGTCTGGTGAGAGGTACTCTCGCTTTTCAAAATGGCATCATAGTGCTGGGTCCTCATGTGGCAGAGCATGGGAGAGGAAGAGAGATCATCCCTCTGTGAAGCCTGTTTTTTTTTTTTTTTAAGCCTGTTTTATATGGACAGTAATGTATTTAGGAAGGCAGAGTCCTTATGGCCTAGTCAGCCTCTGAAGGCCCAGCTTCAATACTTTCATAACAGGGATTAAGTTTCAGCATGAATTTTGGAATAAGACATATTCAGATGATAGCATCTGTTGAATCTAAAAATAAAAAAATTGGGGCTTATATTTTGCTTGTCCTTTGCCACAGGTAGTCTCGGAAGCACTGTTTTAGGGAATGATGGAGCCCAGAGCACCTGTTCTGTCCTTTTATGCCTCTCTTGCCAGAATTTCTGTTTTTCTAAATAACCAGCATCTTGGTATTTGTTCATACTTCAGAATTTTAGTAATCTGTGTTTGGAAAAACATGTGTTTGGAAAAAGAAATAGTGAAAAGGGAAATGAATAAAAGAGATTGATATTTTGTTCCTTAAGTTGGTTAACTATCATGTGCTGGTCTTGAACATGAAGAACATTTGCAATGTGGGAATCTCCTTTGCATAGTTTTTACATCAATATGAAATGGCGAGGTAGGGTATGATTAGATTTTCCCATGTGTTAGCTGCTTGCTCAGTAAAGGTTTTACTTAATTATGCACTTTGCTGTGTAATGTATGAAGTACATGAAACTCAGGAAAATCCCTCGGGTGGAACCCTGTCATTGTAGGCTGAGGCAATGGAATCTTCCTTGTTTGAAGAGCAGCATGCAGATTCTGGATCAGACATCAAATTGCCTTGAACCTTGGAAAATATAATGAATCTTTTGCATAACCTCATATCTTCATATAGAATTTGCTTTCCCAAGTAAACTGAATAATAAACGACTTCAGTTTCATTTTTTATTCATCAAGAA